CCCATCCGCGCCCTCCCTCTCTGCTTTGGCAGGGCGCGTATTTATTGTGGCTGGGGGTGAAAGGGCCCGTTCCCATGACAGGGCGATGCGGGCCAGGCAGGTTTATCCAGAGGAGGAGGGACTGGCAGGCTGCTCTCCCAGAGACGCCCCACATCACTCATTTTACAAGAGGGGAGAAGAATTTGACCGTCTGGCCAACATTCCTGGAGCAGACTACAAGACAAACCACCCCGGCAGCATTCCCCAAACAGCCCCAGCCCCAGCCTTGGGGGAGCTAGACGCTTGTCTGGGAAGAGCTGCAATTGCAGGCAGCTGTCGCTAATCCCGGGCAGAGCCGTGCGGCTCCGCGCAAGCACCAGCGCAAAAACCGACAACATGCTCTGGGGCCAGTGCCAATGGCCCCTCTGTGGGCTGCTGGCTCTGTGACCCCCACTCTAGGGATGGCCCCATAGGCTGTTTGGAGAGGAACAGGCATCCCTGGGGTCCTCCGGCCCCTTTCCTGCCACAGGGGGTTTAGGGGCAAGGGGGGTGCAAATGCCAGAGCTGGGCAACAGCCCCCTGCAGACCCTGGTGTGCTCAGAGGGGCTCCGGTGGCTGCCCCGAGCAGGGCCCACAACAAGCTCCAAAACGTCTCCCTGCTGAGGGCATCCCCCTCCCCGGCTGCAGGCATGGCCACATCCCAGACCCCACACAGCTCCCCAAGGGCTGTCCATCAGCCTGGCCCTCAGCCGAGCCAGCCCCGAGACGCAGGGCAGGGAGCCGTTGCTCTCCAGCCCCCAGAGCTGGCAGCGGGCTGGCAGCCGCTTGCTCTCGACGGCTGGGGCACAGGACATGCCGGGGCAGTTTGGCTATGCCAGGCACCACGGCTCAGCCCCAGAAGTGAGCGGCAGTTTCAGCTTCTTTCCTTCCACGCCAGGAAAACCACAGGCTGACCCAGACAGGGAGGAAGCACGGAGGAGGAAGGAAATGTTCACGCATCGCAGGGTTCTGGATGAAGCCCCACTGGAGGTAAACACCTTCCTCCCGTGTCCCACCCCGGGGAGACCCGCCAGCAGCTCCCGAGCCAGCACCCATGGACGGGCCAGGAGCACGGGCTGCAATTGCCACTGCGGCACAGATAAACAAACACATTCGGGGACACGTGGGCTCTCCGACCCGCCTCGCTGTTTGCCAGGATCCCAGCCCGGCCAGCGAGCCTGCCTCTCGCCCAGGCTGTACGCGTGGAGCAAACATAAATGCAGTCCCATTGCGGGCTGGTGGCACTGGCAGCAGACATGGCACTGGGGACAGAATGAGGAAAACCCCTCATGGTGCCAGGTCCCCAGCCGGGAGAGGGTCAGGGGGGCAGCATCTACAACAGGAAGGACAAACCGACACCGGCTCTTGTTTGCAAACAGGAGTCCGGGCAGTGGTTATTTGCTGTTTCTCAAACCCACAAACTAGGGGCATCTGGCAAAAACAAACGGAGAGAAGGAAGGAGCCCTCTGCCAAGCGGGTAACGCAGGGGGACTCATGATGAGGACACCAGTAGGGCCAGGGCACAGGATGCGCAGGACGGAGCTGGGCACCCATGGGGCACCCTCTGCCTGGTCCCAAGGCACTGCCTGCCCAGGGGATACAGCAACCCGCCATCCCTCTCCCCTCCCTTTCCCCACAGCACCAGCTACTGACCACCGGCAGGGGCCCCAG